CCGCCGCGCCGCCGGCGTCGGGCGGAAGGAGAGCGGGGGCCGGTCCCACGTGGTGGGGCAGCCCGGGATCCCGGACCTGCTGCCGCCACCGTCCTCCGCCCCCGCCCGCGGTCCCCAAGCGGGGCTGGCCGCCAGGTGAGCTCCTTAACCTGGGGACTGCCTTCTATCGCGCCCGCCGGCCCTACTCGGGGCGGGGCCTGAGGTGAGCTCCTTACCTGAAGACGGTCTCCAGGTGAGCCCCTTCCCAGGGGCCGGCCCTGAGGTGAGCATACCCTCCCGCTCCCCTCCCGCTCCCCGCTACGCCCCCGCCCGCGGTCCCTATCCAGGTTATAAGGGAGGTTAGCTCCTTAACCGAGGAGGACCCTTCGCCCCGGGTCCGGCCCCGGGCCCTCCAGCGGACAGCAGTCGCTGGGGAGAGCGCCCTGGGCTCGCTCCTTCGGCGGCCTCTCACGTAGCTTTTCGTTGCTCTCTTGTGATTCTTGTTACTTGGTTTCATTCTGCTCCGCAGGATTCCGAGTGTGGCCGCGCTTAAGCGCCCTTTGCGTGAGTACTAGCAGGGTTCTGCGTTTGGCATTGGGCTTTTTACGTCTCCTCACAGAGACCTCTGGAGGGCACCGTGAGCGGAACAAACGTTTGTAGCCTCCGGAAGGGTGTCTGGGGCGTCTTTGTAACCAGTTCTGCAAACACTTTTTAAGTACTTTGTAGCTGGTGCGGTGGTTTTCTGACATACCGAATTTCAAGTAAGTTGTTGAGCGGGCACGTCTTGGACGTTTTGACAAAATGGGAAAACTGACAGCACCTGAGTGTTCCTGTTCTCTGTAGTAGAGTGAAGGATGCCCTACTGAATGTTAGTGTCCTTCTTGCGGTGTTTGCTCATTCCTTGTATAATTACCTATTGAGGGTAACTTCTGAAGGTCGGTCTGTAGGATTTCAGGTCCCCTAGACTGAAGAAATGAAAGTGATCCAGCCCTTGGCAAATTCTTTTCGTTTCATAGTGTATTAGAAACATGGGACTGCGACCTTTTTCTGGTATTGTTCTATTTGTTTTTATATACGATATTTTTATTTCAGTATTTTGAAAATTTTTCATTTTTGAGGAACTGATTTGGTTTCTTTTATATAATGAAAATGACTTAAAGTGATACGTTTCCCCTTTTTATTATGAATTTTAGGAAACTCAAAGCTATGTTTACCTCGGGTTTGTAGAATTATAGCTGGTTGGTATGCTTGCTTTCCTTTATTCGCGATTTTATTGTACTCTATTTTTACAGTTTCAATTGTGTAACTGTATTTTGTAGAGTCTTTCTGGAAGCAGTGCATGTCCCTAAGCTCATATGTAAATGAATAAAGTTATAGTGGGAAGTTACTGTTGCAGCTGAAATAACAGTATTTCTATTGGGGCTGGGTTTATACATTATTTCTATTTTGCTGGGTGAAATATTACTGTCTCCAAATACTGCTTATTTCTCTCAACTAACTTTTTATAAGATTATTTATTTGAGAGAGAGGGAAAGAGAGGAGAGAGCAGGAGCAGAGGGGTGGGGGTGGAGAGGGAGAAGCAGGCTCCCACCGAACCTGCGGTGGTGGTGGGGGGGGGCGGCCCTCCATCTCAGGACCCTGGGATCATGACCTGAGCCAAAGGCAGCTGCTTAACCGACTGAGCCACCCAGGCACCCCTCTCTCTCTCAACTATTTAATGGAGCTTTTCTTAGTACATAGTATATTTCAGATGATTTGTGCAGAAACTTTCAGTCTAAAACCACGTGTGAATCTTCTTTCACAAATAATTTGAACACTTTGGGTTTTTCCCAGTTGTATTCCTT